TGATCTCAACGGGGCCTTTGTTGATGCACTCGCCTGCTGCAGGGCTCATCCAGGCCCTCAGCTCTTCCGCTGACCAGCTGAGAGAAGGCTGGGGATACACCCTGTGACCCAGCAGGGCATGAAGGGGCCTGTCTATGGTCTGAACTCTCAGGCCGCCAAGGCCCTGTGCTGGGCAGCATCTCCTTGGGACAAAGGAAGGAGAAGCCACGTGCCAAACGGAATATTAAAACACGGGCAGTGGGTGACCCTAGGGCTGGGGGACCCCACTGTAGGGGCAGGCCACCCCTTCCCAGCAGGCAGAACATGGCCCCAGCCTTTCCCCGGCCCTGGCAGAAGCATGGGGGGGGGGGAGGGGCGGGGCTGTGGAAGCCAAGTGCCCCCCCCCCACTGTAGGGGCAGGCCACCCCTTCCCAGCAGGCAGAACATGGCCCCAGCCTTTCCCCGGCCCTGGCAGAAGCATGGGGGGTGGGGAGGTGCGGGTGGTGCAGCGCCTCAGCCTTCCCCAGACCAAATGGGGGGAGAGGGAGGGCGGACGGCAGGCGACCCCAGTCCTCCTCAGCTGGGGAGGGCAGGCAGCACATTGCCTCAGGCTTCCCTGGCACATGGGGAGGGTGCCCCCCCAGGCCCAGACTCCGTAGCCCTGAGAGGGCTGGCTGCATGGCCCCACCTCGGCAGGGCTGAAACCCAGACAGCCCCAGGAGAACTGGGGGAAGTGGGGCTAGGGAGCGTGGGACTCCTGCACCCCCGTAGTGGCACGGACAGACTCCACCAGCCAGTAGAACAGAGGGAGTTTATTGCTTCTCCAGGGTACAGCACAGCACAGATGGAATCTGGTCACAGGAACTGGGGCTAGGAGGCCTCAGTGCCCCCCTTGAGAGGGGGGTGGCTGGGCCCTGCAATCCCAGCCCCCCTCCCTAGCTCCTTCTCCCCTGCTTCCCAGACAGCCACTAAAGACCCATCCCTTCCAGCCCTGCCCCCAGCCAGGGGCGGCATCCCACCTCCCTTTGTTCCTCTCCCTGGGGGGGTAACTGGTCGGACAGGTCACCTGCCTGACCCATCAGCTACTCTGCTGGGCCGTGGTACAGACAGCAGCCAGTGGGGGTCACCCACAGCCCCAGCCTAGCAACCAGCAAGGTACCAACACTACGTCACAGGGCCCCTGCCTCTCAGCCCTGCCGCCCATGTATAAAAGGCAGCTGCATCTTCTCCAGCTAGTCTTCGCCGCTGCTTCCCAAGCCTTCTACACAGGAAGCGCTGGACAAAGGGCTGAAGGCCATCCAAGCTCTCGCCGTGCTCCTGGGGGACCAGCCAGCCAGAGAACTCACCCAGCCTGGCGGACTTGGCAGCTGTTGTGGGTGTGACTGGCCATTTCATCGCTCTCTTCTCGGCCTTTCTTTCTCTTACCACGCCCGTTGTTTCAGGCTCTACCGGACTGGCTGGAAGCCTGGTATGGGGGAAGATCCAACCCTACAGTGACCTGGTAATGGGTATCTGTGAGCAGAGTTTTAAAATCACTTCTCACTGTACTGGACCGAGGTGCTGATGGGGACCCAGAAACCTGGGATGCAGCAAAGGGGTATGTGTGTGTGGTTCCTGCTTGTTCTGGATAATCAGCCCGGGGGGGTCAGAAGCCCCGTTTGTGTCTGGTTCCATGTTTCCCACCAGCCTTGGGAGCATTTGCTGCCTTTTTCCAGCCTGCTCAGACCTTGGCGTTCCTAGTGAGGGCCACCCCAGGCACCCCCAGACACACCGGCTATTTCGTTTTGTCAAGCTGCCCAGAGACCTCCCAGGGAGAAGCGAATTCCAGCAGGCAGAATCACTGACTGGCCCGCCCTTCAACTGCTTCTCATTAACATCTCCGCATGGAAAACCAAGATCCTTTCCAGGAAACATGGGCTGGAAATACCGGGGTGGGAAATGTCCCAGCGTCTGAGTCACTCCCTTGTGCCCTACACCCAGCTGGGCAGCCAGGAGGCCTGTTTACAATGACTACCACAGGGTGTCCTGGCGTGTTTCCGTACTGGCAGCCAA